TAGAGTGAATAAGTTCCTGGGCTACCACTATATTGTCCGTAATATGACGCCCCGGAATGAAGCTCGATTGCGCGTGACCTATCAGTAAGGGTAGGGCTGGTTTCATTCTATTCACTAGCACTTTAGTGATAATTTTGTAGACCACGTTGAGTAGGCTAATTGGGCGAAATTGCTTGATCGAGTCCGGGTTTTCCACCTTCGGGATGATCACGAGGATAGATTTATTCAGCTCCGTGGGCACTACTCCATCCCGAAACACACCGCGGATTAATTCGCAGACTGGCGGCCTGACAAACTCCCATTGACGTTGGAAGAACATGGCGTGGAGCCCGTCTGGTCCTGGGGCTTTGAGTGGCTGCATGTCATTTAGCGCTACAGAAATCTCCGGGTCCCCGACTTCCCGTGACATAGTGTCAAATAATCGAGCATCGAGTTGGGGAAATAAGTTCGGAATTACCGTAGTTCGCCCCGGCCTATCCTCAGTGTAGACCTCTCGAAAATATTCCACTGCTATGGATCTCATTCCATTTTGGTCGACGACCCTGACCCCATTTGAATCGTTAAGAAATAAGATTTTATTGCGGTTACGACGATGCTTCACTTGGCGGTGGTAGTAAGCCGTGTTTCTGTCGCCAAAGAGTGTCCAGTCCCTTTGAGATTTTTGTAGCATAAGTAATTCCTCTTGCAAAGATACCTCCTCCAGTTCGTTACATAAAGCCGCTTCAAGGTTAATAAGGCGTTGAGTAGTGTATTTCTGTAACTCTCGTTGTGCTCCTGCAATTCTCCTTAGCAACCTCTTCTTTCGGTTAAAAATATTCCCAAACACGTGAAAGTTCCACTCCCTCGCTCGTTGTTTAAAGGAATGGGCCGCTTCGAAATAACCTCTCCCCTCCCATGATTGTCGTACGAGTTCGGGGAACCCTTTATGCAAAAGCCATGAAGCGAGAAATTTAAAGGGCTTTGTTCTTGGTGCTGGTCTTTGATGGTCTTCACACCGTACTAGCAGCGGGAAATGATCTGAGTTGGTTCGGGGAAGGTGTTGGACAAGTCCCGTCGGGAATTTGTTCATCCACGCCGAATTCGCTATAAAGCGATCTAACTTCTGCTTCAGGCCTCCTCTTTCCCACGTAAATAAAAGACCATCAGTTCGGGCCTCATGAAGTTCACAGTCAAAAATCCAATCATTAAAGTCCTCGCTGGTGTTAATGCGGTTGCTGGCGCCCCCTCGACGTTCATCTTGCCGGAGGATGCAATTAAAGTCTCCTCCGATGAGCCATGGGTCATAAATTCTCGTAGCCAAGTGTCTTAGTTCCGGCCATAACGAGCGCCGAGTTGTGGGATTTGGGCTCGCATAGACAAATGTGACAAGAACTAACACTCCATTCTTAACTGCTCGAATGTGGACATATTGTCGGTGATATTTTAACACTTCAACCTGCGTTTGCTCTTTCCACAAGATCCATATGCCTCCCGAAAACCCGGAAGCTTCCACTCGAAAAGAGTAATCAAACCCACTCTTTCTAATGAATTTGTCGGCATTCACGTTGCTGATTCGGGGCTCAAAAATAGCAAAGACATCTGGGCAGTAATGATTTTTAACATTGGTGAAGGCTCGGAAAAATTTCCCTGAAGCCGCTCCTTGAACATTCCACGCTATAATATTCATAAAAACAAAAAACAATAATAGGCTGACACACGTCATATAGAGCTAGGAACCTGAGACAACAAGGTCCCATCTTCATTCATGCGAGATTTTGATCCTTCCATTGCCCCTTTTTTGGCCCATTTTGGGTTGGTGCAGCCCCAAGCCCATTTGCCCCGTTATCTGCTGTCGGCCCATTACCTTCTCTCCCCTTCTTTCCTTTTTTCGGCCCAACTACGTGCCACTCGTTATGTCCCCTTTGTTTAGCATTCATTGAGTCCCTCCTTTTATCAAAGATTCCCACCTCTTTTTGTCCAGCCTGGAAAGATGTCACAGGTGCACTAAATACATCTTTCCCCTTGTTTGTGTCCTTAAAACATGTCCCTGTATCATTATTAGGTTCTTGGAAACAATCATTCTCACCATTGTTCTCCGATAAGGCCGTGAATCTAGACCCATTTCCGTTCACGATCTCCTTTTGTTTAGGCTGATTTTCCCCTGTAAACTTCTTTCCTCTAGCTTGCTGCCAACCGCCTATATTGGCCCTCATCCAAGGTCCATAATGATGTTGTTGCTCTTTGTCAACTTCCCCGGCCGCCTTAGGGGCCACGCCATCACCAACCGGTTGTGAGTGACTTGAAGAGGCATTGGTATTTTCAGCCCCTCTTTTGTCAGTTGCCTTGGTCGCCACATGCCTGCTAGGACAAGCTGTAACCACATGTCCACATATTCCACAGTTGTAGCAAATATCAGGTAACATCTCGTATTGTACTCTTTGGGTTTTACCTCTTATCGTAAAATGGGTGCATAGGGGCTTCTTCAAGTCTAAGCATACGGCCAGACGAGCAAATTTACCTCGAGATTGACCGGCCGTCTGATGATCAATCTTCACCACCTTACCCACGATACGACCCACATTTCGGAATATCTTCTTATGGTAGAGATGTAACGGAAGTCCCGGCAGTCGAATCCAAGCCATCGTGGATTTTATTTCATTGGTTTCCCCGTCGAACGCCTCATCCCACGGCTGAACGTGAAGGTAATGCTTCCTCACAATCCAAGGGCCCCCTACAAGCACGGAGACCGCGTCTTCATGGGTTTGAAATTGGACCATAAAGTATCCATTCTCTGCATCAATAATGGGACACCCCTTCATGAAAGGCCAGATTTCCACAAGTTTCGCATACAAGGTGGCCATACGCATATTGAGCCCTAGCAATTTTACCACCACCACATTGCTAAATGATTTGATTTGAGCTTCTAAAAAGCTGTCCTTCAATTGAATGTCTGGGACTGGTTTTGCAAAATCAACCGTAACATCATCATCCGATTCACCCCCTTCATCCTCCGATTCGATTGCAACGTGCGGCCGATTTTTAGTCAGAGTATCCCTGAAGCTCAGAGGAGGCGTCGGCGACTCCAACGGAGGTTTGTACATGTGTTGGGTCCCTGTTTCTTTGGCCTGTTCTTGATGGTCCGGTAACAATTCGGCAGTGGGCCGACGTTTCTTCAGCATACGGGCATTGAGCATCGAAGGAGGGTTGGCTATGTTAAGTTCCGGGAATGGGTCCGGTGGGTCGACCCTGGGATCAGTTGGTAAGTCAAAACCGCTGCGAGCGGACATTTGCCCTAATTTTTCGCCAGAGAACATTTTTCCCTTTTTTTTCGAGTTTAGATAGAGAAACTCGGAACAGTAGAAATTCGCGACGGTAAAAACTGGCAAATCTCCTTGAGAAATTTACCCCTCTTACGGTTACTTTGGTAAAGAGTATCAATAATACGAATTAAGTATTTTTTAAAATTATAAATACGAAATATTTATTTCATTAAAGAAAATTTAGTTAAGATGGTAGTTATCTACTTCCAAATTATCTGTTCTCTCTCTCACACTATATCTCTTTACGCCTTCATTATCT